ACATGTTTTTGTAAGATTTAGAGCTAAATGTGGAAAAATGTTGCTGTTAATTTCGGCATGTTTCAGTTTACAAACGGCGCCCCATAGCCCTGCTTCATCTTCGCCCACTTCATCTGCACTTGGCTGGTTTTATTCTTCTTCGTTAGCGATTCAAGACGAGCTTCATGGAAAGTCGTTGTGGAGAATGGTTTTATCGAGCCGCTTGTCATTGCTGTGATTCCTTACGTTATATACTGATTTGGTGAGTAAATGTTTACTGTTATTCAAACTGCTTTTGTGCCTTCTCTCAGTTTAGCACCAGATTTATGATCTTGCTAGCTAGCTAGTGTTAGCCTAACGTTGCTGCTGCCTCTCGGCTCCTGTTACTTCAAATTAACCCCACAGTTTTAAAAAGTGAAACTTTATTTTGATTAATTGAAATAGAAAAGTGAGCAGCTATTATATAAGAGCCCAGAAGAAACCTTTTCGAAAGGTGCAGCCGTTAAGGTTGGGGGCTTGTTTTTAGTCCATATAAAACTTTCTAACAAATGAACCGTTTATTCTTAACCCCTGTATTTATTTGAATGCTTTGAGGCAGCTTTTGAACATCTGTGGCATCTATTAATGTCAAATCTAGCCTTTAGCCATAAGCAAACTGCTTTTACATTTAACAAACATATCTGTGTAATTACATTTTAAACAATAATAAGAAGAACAACAACAGTATTTGTTTTGTTAAAACATGTGTTTAGACACATTTTTTGTTGTGAAAGTCCAAAGCCATAAACCAGATTCGTGGCTTGCTAAATGGTTAAAGTCTATGTTGGCTTTATAGCTTCTTCTATATTCTAAATAATGAAGCTAAATCCCACAGTTGAATCATCAGAACATGTTGGGGTTGCCTGTGTCACATATAAACACTGCCATATGTTTTATCTGGTAATTGTGCTTATTAGAGACTTTATATATTGAAAGTTAGCTTTTAACAAGCGTGCAATGATTACATTTAAGTTAGGTGGTCTTTTCTTTAAACACATCTCTTTAGGCCTAAACTAACAGTGTTAATGCCACAAATTCAGACACAGTAATAGAGGATTTTAGTACTATATGTGCTAGTCTAATTTGGTTGTATGAGGTCTACTACATTGACCTTCTGTGTTGTAAGTTATAACTGCTGCACAGCCATTAAGGATCAAATCAGTTTCTAAATAATTTTCTGTTTTTTCTCCCTCTGCTTGCTTCTTACGGTCTTTGAGGCTCGGGACCAGCACTCCCCAGGTTACATCAAACCCTTACAAGTCTGTAAGAAGAAGCAGTTGGACAGAAAGTCTTTAACTGAGTGGTAACTATTTTGGTTTTCCAATATATTAATAATTGTCAGTGACATTTATATTAATCAGGCTGAGCTTTAATTATACTTTAAATCAACCTGTTTTACTTATTGTTTCGTTTGTGCTTTGGTTTGGGGAAGTTGTTTCTTTATTGAGCTTTTCCTGTCTTCTGTTATTAGACTTGAGACCTGATTGCTCTATGCTGTTGCTGATGACTCCAGTTAATCCTGAGAGACATGTTGTGTAAGTGAATACAAAGACAGTTTAGTCTGCACAGACTTAGTTTGTGGGATATGATCAGTCCACACTGTCCACACAGTATATAGTTTGCAAGTTTTTGAACAGTGAAATTTGTTTTGTGCCCAAATCATTCTGCAGATCATCAGAATGAAAGTTATTGGCTGTGTTTGCTTAGCCATTTTTTAAAAATATGCTTTCATGACATGAATATGTTTCGGTTGGTGGTCAGGGCTGTCCAGACTGACAAGTGGGACATTACTGGGCTTAAGCCCGGGCTGTTGTTTCAGAAGCCCGGGGTTTTTTGGAGTGTAATTTGTCTCATAGTTAGATGCCTGACTGACAACTGTATAAAACAAAAACTATACAATATTCGAAGCACATAGCGCACAGTCGTAAATTCCCCCTAATTTTGGTATGATCCGAGCTCGGGCACTAGGCGACTGAGCACTTACGCATGTGAGCGAGGGGGGAGAAGCTGCTGCCTGCAAGTTTGCTGCAGACGGAGGAGAACTTAAGTTTGACCAGGTATGTCTCTACCAGCTTTGCACATCTAGAGACTGAAATCCTTGCCCATTCTTCTTTGCAAAACAGATCTGGAGATCTGGACTTTGACTGGGCCATTCTAACACATGGATGTTTTG